TGCCACGGCTAACCATCATCAGTAATTAATTGCTCTGGGGTTTGCGGATGGCTTTTGGTCTTCTCAACACCTTCAACTGGAGCTAGAGCTACGTTCGCCCTGATAGCATGACTCAGAGGAGGGAACTTCTGTTTTGCTCTAAGAGGGGATGTCTAAAAGGGAAAAGGGGATCAAACACAGCTCCAAATGGAAGGGTCAGCAAAATCACGAATGTAATAGGAGCAACCTCAAAATTATTCAATTCCGGATGGTTTGAGCCAGTGCCGCTTCAAATGTTTGTAGTTTCTATGTGAAATATTGTGATTTGTTGGTGGCAGACATGGATAAAGATGAAAGTTTGCCCACCCGAAGCATATATTGTTCATCGCATTACAGAAATTTATTGCAAACAATGTAATTCTAAAATGGAATTTGTTTCAGTAATAGGAGATGCTAACCACTACCACCAGTGCAATGTCTCTGGGCTTCCTATTTGATGGAAGAAGGTCTTAAATAGAGCTAAATACATGTGTTTAAAGAGATATGAAGAAAGTTGAGCTTTGGCCCAACCTCAGGGCCAGCTCATGTGTACAAGAAAAAGCTGAATGCCAAAGTGACTGGCAATCATGCAGTTAGGCGATGGCACTGCTGTATGCTTTGCAGTGCTGTCTTCTCACTTCCTCCTGACTGTCTCCCAAAGAATCTGTTCATTTACACAGGCTTTATTTTTTTAACAAAGTACCTAATACAGGGGAAGAGTATTCGAGGGGGAGGAAAAGAAGTGGCAGGTTGACTCCTTAAGAACGGCCTTTGAATTGAACTTTCGTCTTTCAACCACGAGACACAATTCAAACAACCATTGTGTAAAACACGAGCATTTTCGATTTACATACGTTAAATGGCTTTTGAGCTTGATTGTCCATGTACGAGGAGGTTATGCATCTGGACTTTCGGCGCAGTAATTATTGACGATGCTTGAATCGTGCACATACTTCATCAGAGGGGAGAACAGAATGTGTTCGACTGCCTTATTTATGCTTGTCAGCATTATTTTCAAGCAACGGGAGTTAACATGGGAGTAATGCGAATTCTATCCCTCCACTGCGCCAAAACGGCAGTAACTAACCGGCTTTAGTTTTCTGAGTGTACAAAGCTCAAATCATGAGTAGACGTAGCCTGTGATCAGGAGGACTTACAAAGTCTTTTTACTTACGTGCTTTTAAGGTCACTGGAATTCGACCTTTACCTTACGTCTACGTTACAATGCGAACAGTTTGGAGAAGTTTTAACTTTCGTAAATTTGTATTCCAACTCGCTGCCAATCGACCTCTTCAACAGGTAGGATTGCGATGGTTGGTGAAATGCATTGTCGATTTGACTACCTGTATGATGGGATAATTTAGGCGGTTGTCTGGCTTTTTTTTCGTGGGTTGGTCTTTGGGCTAGGTTATGGCCTCATTTTCCCAATTTCTGACCGATTATGTGTAATCAGCCAAGCCCATCGCTTTACCATATCCAACGACAGCATATAGCGAATTCAACTCTGGTACAACTTCTATTCTGATTTCCACTGCTTGTGATAAACACCTGTAGTGCGAATGTAGAGCATGTGGTTCGAGATAGAGAATCTCCAACTTCTCTACCAATTGATTTGACACTGCTATGAGCCACCGAGAAAAGTTTGTTTTAGAATGTCCCCTATCGCATCCTCGTATAAATGTCGGCAATGATACTGCACTGTACCACTTTACATAAGGAAATGTGTTCAATCCCGTTTTCCTTGTTACGCGTTCCTGTGGATCTGGAAACAATCGACGGTCTACAAAAGTACTCTCCACTGCTATCTGTATTCAGGTCGATCGTGACTCCGGATACAGTTGATGATGCTGAGGGAACCAAACACAATCCCTTAGTGTAATGTAAGCTGCTGCGGCTGGCTAACACGGGTTTTCTTGCAGCACCGAGAATCATGTAATAGTTGATAGAGAACGGGCGTCAAGGGCAGCGTCGGCGATGTCGCTCGAAAGAAGATAGCACAATGTGCTGTATTGTTCATATAACCACCTACATGACTGGCGGTCACCCCGGTATTTATCATACTCATAGTTGCGTGGGCTAACGTCCACGCCGGGTCATGGCCTTGCTCCCACAATTTCTGCCATATTGTATGTATTCAGTCATGCATACTGGCTTCTACTCATTTTTAATGCGGAGTTGCTGGACTTTACTGTCCTATCAACCTAGATGTGGAGATCAATCAAGTGTGTGACGTCATGATCAATATATGTCTATCATATATTATATAGTCGTTAAGAATAAATGGCTTTTTCATCCATAATATACTCAGCCTATGCCTTTACATTTGTTTAGATTCACACTATTTGTAATACTTTTTAATGCGGCAACCCAATGTTGGGCGATCGCCTCAGAATTTTTTTTGCCCTTGTGCACTTCGACCGGCTTTCTGGCCAACCTCAGGCTTAACACTTTTCCTCACGTAAATTGCATGTGACAACCACAAAACAATGCTTTCCACCTGGTTGGAACTCTCGGGAGGCCAAACTACTCTGGGTGCTAGACCCTTTTCTGGCATACTACGAGCCGCAATAATGGGCAGTGGAGAGGTATCGAACACATCACTGCTGTCCCGATCAATTCTCCCCACCCACCCAAATCACTGAAGTCGGTTGCAATTTCTGCTCTTCATCCCAAAGTACGGTTCAAAATCTAACTATATGGTACTCTATAGCTCACGCGCAGTGTTGGGGATTTCATATTACCGGATAAGTTAGATCATTTCTTGCTACAGTTTAATACAAGCCCGAAACCTGTCAGCGGCGCTGACATTTTTAACATTTTCGCCTTAATATTGTTTCATTGCCAATATTTATGGTATTAAGGTTATGTTTTTTAATGAAGCACTTAAAATTACAAAAATAATGTGACTTAGTTTAGTTATTGGCTCTGCTGTTTATTGGCTTAGTCATTGGTCAGCGCTGGATGGATAGGTGATTGGTGCATTTATTCTCCTTTCCACATTTGCGGGTTCACCTTCCTGATCAGTATCTATTTGGTGGAAGATCATGTCGTTTTTTGGAAACCTTCTCAAAAAATTTCGGCAGGGTGAAGAGAAACCAAAGTCAAAGCCTCTTCCTTCCGTGGTTGTGGTGGGTGTTGACCCATCCACCGTTTGGAAGAACATTGCAGAACTCGGTGACGGCGCATTTGGTAAAGTTTACAAGGTAATCGTTTATATTCCGCCTTCATTTTGCTAAGGCATCAAAAATCAAAACCGGCCAGTTAGCAGCCCTTAAAAGCGTTGATTTTTCATCGGATGAGGAGATGGAAGATTTGATGGTTGAAATAGAAATCCTGCATGAATGTAAACACCCGAACATTCTTCAGCTGCATGAAGCATATGTGTACGAGAAGAAAATTTGGGTAAATTTATTGTTTCGATTCACGTGTATTTTCCTCCCAGATGTATCTTGAGTTTTGTGGAGGTGGTGCAGTTGATAGCATAATGAAGGCTCTGGATAAGCCTTTAACGGAACCTCAGATCAAATTTATTTCCCATGAAGTCATATCTGGCCTCGCATTTCTTCATAAACACCTGATTATTCACCGCGATCTCAAGGCTGGAAATATTTTAATAACTCTGAACCACGAAATTCGTTTGGGTGGGAAATATTTTCATCTAATTTCCTTTTTTTGCATCAGCCGACTTCGGCGTGTCTGCACGCATGGCGAACGAGAATCAAAAGCGTACAACTTTCATCGGTACTCCGTATTGGATGGCGCCTGAGGTTATTGCCTGTGAAACCTTCAAAGATAATCCCTACGACATAGCTGCTGATGTATGGTCTTTTGGTAGGGTTCTTATGTACTTCTCCTTTTTATTCATTCAGGTATTACTCTAATTGAATTTGCTGAAATGCTCCCACCTTACAATGAGCTTAATCCCACTCGTGTGC